TCACTGCCCTGGCCCTGTCCCAGCTAAGTCCTAGCCCTGTCTGTTGATACTTAAGAAAGCTTTATTTATGGCTGAGAGGGTAATTTTAATTTATGGGTTTCTGGTTACTAACAGCTTGACCTCAATCTCTGTTTAGTTCTTTTTCTCTGATTTTTGTTTGCTTGTTCACTTAACTTATATAAATGTCTAAGAAGAATATGTTAAAATGTTTTGTCACAGAGCTGAAGTGATGGGTAGTGGTTAAGAGCACTTGCTGCTCTTTGCAGAGAATCCAGATTCAGTTCCAAGCACCCACACAGGGTTCTCAACTGTTGTAATGCCAGTTTCAGAGGAGGATTAAATGCCCTCTGCTGACTTTTGCAGCTACTACAGTCATGTGGTGCATAGACACATGCAGCCAAAATACCCATGCACACAGGGAAAAGGTTTAATGTCCAAACATAATTGTTGACCGGCATTTTCTTCCTAGAATTCTATAAATTTTTTTTTATGTTTTGGGTTATAAACTTGGGGTTTATATGCTTGATAAATGCCGCTTTGTTTTACTATTTCTTTTGGTAATCTTCTTTGTCTTGTTCTTGCATAAGATTTTTTTTTTTTTTTGCCCTTCTTTCCTCAATATTTAAGTTCTTTGTATGTTAGGGATATAAGCTCTTCTTCTGTGAAATGTGTTACAAATTTTTTTTACACGATATGATTCATCTGACTTTGCAAATGTATCTCATACCATGCAAAGATTTGGTGTTTTGTGGGTGCAAGGAAGTAATGAAATTGATTATTCTTCAGGCAGGTGGTGTAGCCTATCTGGTAGAGTATTTGCTGGATGTCCACAAAGCCCCGAGTTTGATCCCAGGGCAACATAAACTGGGCATGATGGTTGATAACTTGGGAGATCGGGGGAATCAGGAAGATCAGAAGTCCAAGGTCACCCTCAGCTACATAATGAGTTAAAAGCTGGCCCAGCTAGTGAGCTACCTAGTGCCTGCTCTCAAAGAAAAAAATGGAATGAAAGCAAACAAGTAGTGGATAGCTTTCTATTTCATCATATTGTTTCTTGTCTTTCAGAAGATTTTTAAGTTACTTTCTTTTATAAATTTATTTTTATTGTATGTGCATTTGTGTCTTGACTATGTATGTCTGTGTGAGGGTATCAGATTTTGGAGTTACAGACAGTTGTGAGCTGCCATGTGGGTGCTGGGAATTGAACCCAGGTCAGTGCTCTTAATCACATAGCTATCTCTCCATCTCCTATTTTTAAGTTTCTTTCTTTCTTTCTTTTGTTTTGTTTTTGTTTTGTTTTGTTTTTTGAAACAGGTGGTCTCTGTATTGTTTTGGAGCCTGTCCAGCAACTTGCTCTGTAGACCACCAGGCTGGCCTCGAACTCAGACATCCACCTGCCTCTGCCTCCCAAGTGCTGGGACTAAAGGCGTGTGCCATCGATGCCAGGCTTTAAGTTACTTTCATGTAGATTTTACATAGTTCTTACTCCTAAGCGTTGAAACTTTTTCTGTTAGCAGTGCAAATATTGTTACATCTTCATGCTGTTGTGGCCTGTGCTTTGGGTTTGGTGTGTTCACTTTATTTCTTGATGAGTTATTGTTAATTCTCAAAAGGTTTTCAGGAATACCATCATGTTATCTAAAAGCACAAAAGGACTTTTTTATTTTCTAATCTTACACATCTGTTTTCTTATTGCTTAATTGCTTTAATGAGTACTACCAGAATAGTGTTAAATAATCATGGAAAGTCATCATTCTTGCCCTGTGTTTTCCCATGGAGATACTTTTTTGCCTCATTGAGGTATATTATTTTCTCTTTTAAAGGAACTATCCAGCTGTTCTTGTTTTTTTGAGAGTTTTTATTAGGGGAACTGGGGATGCAGCTCACTTAGTAAAGTGCTTGCCTAGAATACACAAAACCCTGGCTTTGATCTCTGACATCTCCCAAGGTGGATATGGTGGCACACACCTATTATCACAGTAATCTGGAGGTGGAGCAAGAGGATAAAAAGTTCAAGGTTACCTCAGCTATATGGCAAATTTGAGGGCAGCCTGGGCCATATGACACCCTATATAAATAAAGTAACATAGTATAAGAATAAGGTAGACTTTTATTAGAACTGGGTCTTGATTTTGTCATGGATATTTTCCAACAGCTATGAAAGTAATCACTCAATTTCCTACCTAAACCTGTTAATGTGGTAAATTGGCTTCCTAACATTGAACCAACTTTACTTTTCTAATATAAACCCTAAATGATCATGGAATATAAGCCTTTAAATATACTTACTGGCTAGAATCTATTTATTGGTATTTTTGTAGGATTATTACATCAAATGCTATTCACAATCGGTATAAATCTAAATTTCCTTTATTGTAGTCTCTTTACATATTTAGATGTAACTGTTGTACTTGATTAATAAAAGATACTTGGAAGGTTTTCTTCACTTTCTAGACTCTGATACAACTTGCTCAGCATAGGATATTTTAAAAATTTGGTAAAATCCCTGGTTTTTTGTTGTTGTTGTTATGTTCTTTTGTGGGTTTTTTGTTTTGTTTTGTTTTTTGTTTGTTGGTTTGTTTTTCGAGGCTGGGTTTCTCTGTAGTTTTGGAGGCTGTGCTGGAACTAGCTCTTGTAGACCAGGCTGGCCTCGAACTCACAGAGATCCGCCTGCCTGTGCCTCCCAAGTGCTGGGATTAAAGGTGTACACCACCACCGCCCAGCTTGTTTAATCTCTACCAGATTCAAATTATCAGCTTTATGTTAAGATCCTTGATTCATTTGGAGTTGAGTCCTGTGCAAGGTGAGAGATAAGGATCAAGTTTCATTCTTCTACATGTAGCTATCCAGTTTGACTAGCACCATTTGTTGAAGTAGATATGTTTTCTACAGTTTGTGTCATGGGCCTCTTCATGAAATACAGGGTGGCTGTAGGAATGTGGGCTTATATGTGGGCCTTCAGTTTTATTCTACTGTTCAGCATATCTGTTTTAATGCCAGTACCATGCTGTTTTTGCTGTTGTTGTTTTTCTATAGCTCTGTAGTATAACTTGAAATCAAGGGGGTGATACTTCCGGCAGTTTTGTTTTGGTTTTTAATTCAGGATTCTTTTAGATATCCTGAATCTTTTGTATTTCCATATTTCCCACATGAAATATTTTTTGGTTTTTTTTTTTTTCTCGTTCAAGACAGGGTTTCTCTGTGTTGCTTTGGAGCCTGTCCCAGAACTAGCTCTCTCTTTAGTTTGTTTGTTTGTTTTCTGAAACAGGGTTTCTCTTTGGAGGCTGTCCTAGATAGAACTTGCTCAGTAGACCAGGCTGGCCTCGAACTCACAGAGATCTGCCTACCTCTGCCTCCCAAGTGCGGGGACTATAAGCAGCTTCCACATGAAATTTAAGAGTATCTCTTCCGATGTCTGTGAAATTGGAATTTCTATATGGGTTGCATTGAATCTGTGGCTTGCTTTTGATAAGATGTCCATTTTTACAGTATTAACCATACCAATCCATATGGGAGCTTATCTCATTGGCCCCACAGTTCTTTATAAAATCAAGTTTAAGCATGAGATAAACAAGTATGTGAAACACAACAGGAAAGGGGGAAGCTAGAGATGCACTGTTACTTAGATAGAAATCAAGTGACCAAAATTAATGGCATCTAACACGCCAGTGGAAGTGCTGGAGGAGACCACCATGGCGCCATCCCCACAGAAACCCTGAAAAACCAAGCAACATCTGCTAAAGCCAACTTTGCCAGAGCCCTGGAGAATAGGCAGCGGTTTACTGCAGCCAAACTAATGCTGGAAAAGGCCTCTTGCGAGTACAGGAGAGCTTTGCCATCTATTCTGTCCCTTCTTTGCCCACTCAGCCCCCCATTGCAACTACATATTTTGCTCCTGCCTAGAACCTGGTCCCTGGTTCTGAAGGGAGCAATGTGCACCTCGTTTGCAAAGAAGTGTAGTAGTTTCCATTCTCATTTATTGGAGCTCTCTGAAGGGCTGACTGGCCAGAGTGCTTACAGGGTGATACAGAACCCACTGCAGAAAACCAGTGAGCATCACTCAACCACTTTATAATGCAAACAGTCTGCAGCCACCAGGGGCAAAAATAACAGTTGAGGTACACAAGAAATCACAAGACTGGGCTGTCTGGGAGAGATAACTTGCGAAATCAGGCCATTCCAAAACACCTCTGTAGGTAGGGAACCTAGAAAGCCTCCGGCATCCCAGGGCAGGTGACATGCTAGGAAAAGACCTAAGAAAAACTGAACCTCGCCTGATGCGCAAGGTAAACCAGAAGTGAAGTCTAAGACAGTTGGGAATACCGTGATCACGGCAGCCCAACACAGAACCCCAATCACAAAAACTGAGAGAGCTTTCATCTTTTTGGTGCTTGAATCTGTGCTGTGTGAACTGAGGCTTGTGTGGATGCTAAGGATGTTTTCAAGAGCAGCAGTCAAGGGAAGCTCTTCCTAGGCACAGACATTTGTCACTGGGAAATGCCCGACAGGAGGAGCAACTCTTGGGACTCTGTTCTACTCAGCTATTTCAGCTTTAATCTCTGAGACACTGGTTCACAGGCAGTCAGATGTAGACCTCACCCTGCTCTTTGTAGAAGATCAAAGCAGCAGCTGGTTATCCAGTTCTCTGAGGGACTTCAAAAGGCCAAAACCAGCTCACCCCTGTAGTGACCACAGTTGTGGCCCAGGATCTGTCACACACAGACTCCCCTAAAGCTAGATGGGCATCCTTTTATAAAAGCAGTGTTTGGTTTTTGATTTATGATCACCCCAAAATTTGAGGGCCTCAGCCTCAAATTGGTGTCTGCTTGGGAGCTTTGGGTGGATGCTACATACATTACAAGTCTCTGCTACCTACTGGACAGGCCTAACTTGAAATGGGGAAGGACTCCAGGGAAGGTGAAAGGATGCATGTAATTTGGACTCTGTCCTTCTGTAGACAGTGCCAACAATGATGGATAACATTCCATTTTTCCATGCAGGAAGGACATTCCCTTGGAGCATGTGACACACATGGACAGAGAACAGACCAAGAAAGTGGTATACTCTGTGGTCTACGGAGCAGGTGAGCCATAGGGAAGGGCTGGGTTCTTGGTATCACCCATCAGCCAATGGCTATGTGCCTATATTTAAGTGTGCCATGCCTCAGAGAAATCACTCTGTAAGTCCCTGTGTGTTGTTTACACAAACACTGCAGTGGTATTTGTGTCATCAGACACCAGTCAGACTTCTCCATGCTGCTGACTTATAGTCCTCATCTGTGTGGTACCTACTGAGGCTCTGCTGGTATTCCACGTTCCTCAGCTTCTGTTTCCTGCTGGCCCAGGGGGGCTCTGACATGAGCAGCCTGCACTGTGACCACTTTATACTTCCAAGCCGGCTGCCGGCTGCAAAGTACTAGCTGTATACCTGTTTATCTGTTCAGGGTAAAATGCCCATCCTGAGCATGTGCCCAAGAAGCCACCAGTGCCCACTGGTTTTGCCTACCAACCAGTGAAGAGAAGCACAAAGCACCCACTGAACAAGTAACAATCCTTCGAGAACATCACATCATGTGAAGTGTCTCAAAAGCAACGGGGAAGGGACAGTCGTGAACTGTGGTTCTCTTGTCCCATTTCCTCCTCAGTCTCCTCCTTACTATCCTGCCCCCCACCCCTCAGATGTCTCAGCTCTGGAAGAAAGCAGCATTCTGCCAGACAGATTAGAACTTGATGCCTTGGATCCTCCTGCAGATCTGCCATAATCTCCAGCTCTGAAGGCCTGGTGTTACCAACACACACACACACACACACACACACACACACACACACACACACACACACACTCAGGCTCAAATCCCAGTCAATTCTATCAACTCTTGACCTTGTTTCACAAGAAGCCCTGTACCTTTTTGCCCATCCCTTTCACCATAAAGACTCTCATAGAGTTTCAGGAGCTACAACTGGCACAGTTAGCTCTCATCTCTGCCATCTTCTTCCTGTTTGTGTACTATTTCAAGGGTGAGCTATGTAGTTAAGCTTCCAGAGACACCCCCCTCCACCCTCCAAGTTGGAGCTGGCTCAGGAGGGAGGGAGGGATGCAGGGTGCATAAGTGATTTTCCCGAGTGTTGCCTGGCCCTTGCCTCTCCAGTAGTAGGGTCACCCCTCACCACAACAGTTGTATCCCAAAGAAAGATGGCCTCACAGCACCCATGCACGGGCTCTTTCTGAGCTCTCACTTGATGTTTTCTGGAGAGGAAGGGTGCCTCACTGTAAATAAGCATGAGTCATTAGCTATGATGGGTGAAGGGAGTAATTTGCTGCTTTTAGCCCTGGTGTGACAGGACTCCCACCCTGAGCTTCTGTCTCTGTTGCTCTATTGTTCCTGCTCCACCTGACAGCTGGAATTACTGTGTGTCTGCTGTTCAGTTCATGCTGTCTCTATCCCACCCCGCTTACTTGAGCCAGAACCTTGCTGATGAGCAGGCTGGGGGCATAAGTGAATCACCAGGCACCACTGTTGCTGGGGCCTTGGGAAACCCAGTTGTAGAGGCCTTGGACAGGCAGCTTGTGATGGCATGCAGGAGTGTTTCCACAGAAGCCATCTCTGAGTAACCCAGAGCTGCTGATACTAATGCTGAGCCAGAGAAAAATGTAACTCCAGTGCAACCTTCAGAGATCAGTTATGTGATCAGTATGAGGACTATGATAAGCCAGAAGGAAAAGCTACAGGGCTATAAGACAAGCAGAGAAAGCACCTAGAAGAGATGTGGGTGTGCGTACCCAGCCACCTACAGCATATATGACAACCCTGTCTGGCCTCTTATGACCTCAAATTCATGTGACCCATGTGTCATCTGGGATCTTGACCCAAGGTGACTCACAAGCCCACTGCCTCTCTTGTATCCAGATAATTCAACATCTGCCAACTTACTAGGCATCTCCTCATCTTGCTGGGCCTGCTTGCAGCCATCTGTGCTAGCTGATTTTTGTAAACCTGATACATACCTAGACATATCCATGAAAATGGAATTCTAATTAAGAAAGTGCCTCCATGAAACTGTAGGAACATCTATGGGATATTTTCTTGATTAATAATTGATGTGGGAGGTGCTAGCCCATTGTGGATGGTGTCACCCATGAGCAGGTAGTCCTGGGTTGTATGAGAAAGCAGGCTGAGCAAATCACTGGGAGCAAGCAAGCAGCCCTCTTCCATGGCCTCTGCTCCTGTTTCTGACCCCAGGTTCCTGCCCTGCTTGAGTTCCTGCCTTGACCTCCCTCGGTGATGACTGTTACATGGAAGTATAAGATGGAATAAGCCCTTTCTTTCCAAATTTGCTTTTGGACATGGTCTTTATCACAGCAATAGAAACCCTAGCTAAAATACCATCTCTGAGCTCACCAGGACCCTAGCCTCTACTGGAAGTCATGCCTAATCCCTAGGCTTGCTGGATTTCTGCTTTCTAAGGGTTGGCCTAGTTCTGAATTCTCACCATGATTCCTCAGTGAGCTCCATATTCAGCTGTTGTATGATCTGCAGGTGCTTTCTGGATGCATGCAGAATGTCAGACCCACCCTGTACCAGCACGACAGTGGAAAAGGGCTCATGCCTGCTCCCAAGCGCTTGGCTCTGCCAGGAGAAACACAAAGTGAAGCCAAGCCTCATCTGAGTACCCTAGGGACTGTACTTATTATGGAGCTTCAGAACCTGGATAGCTGCCCAGGACAACAATACCTGGACTGCATGAGAAGTCCTATTCAAGTAGACCAGACAGCATTCCTGGGTCTCTGTGTGACTAGGCACTTGCTCAGCCCTAGAAACAGAAATGCCCTAGTTTCATTTCTGTTGCTGTTATAAAATACCCTGCTGAAAAGCAACCTAGGGAAGAAAGGTTTTATTATACTTACAATTCCAGGCTACAGTCCATTATTGCAGAAACATTAAGGAAGGAACTTGGGCATCACGTCCATAGTCAAGAGCATAGAGATAAGAAATACATGGATCCTTGCTTGCTGCTTGCTTGCTGTCCTCTTATACTGTTCAGAAACCCTGCCTAGAGAATAGTGCTGCCCAATATGAGCTGAGTCTTCCTATATCAGTGAAAATGATTCCCCATGGACATGCTGAAGAGCCAGCCTGATCTCAGATAAGTCCTCAGCTGATCCTCTTCCCAAGTGACTCTACCTCATGTCACGTTAACAGTGAAAACTAAGCATCATGACCTGCCCCTTAAATTGACATGCAAGCACTGTCTATAGCTTCCACTCCTTAACCTGAAAGTATTATTTTAATTTTACTCTTTATTTTAATGACTTATTTATTTTTATTTGACTTGCATTGTGATGATGTTAGATCCCTTGAAACTGGAGTTACAGGCAGTTATGAGCTGCCATGAGGGTGCTGGGAATTGAACATAGATCCTCTAAAACAATAGCCATTGGGTATACACCCTGTGGTTCTGCATTCTCTGATATCGTGGGGTCTTCATTGCACCTGAGGCTTCCCCTTTACCAATGACGAGTCAAGCCCCCCACTCCTTCAGGGTCTTCAACTCAATCACAAGGAGCCACACCTCAGATGTTCTTATTGACCCCTTCATGCCTTCAAAACCATTACCACATGGACAACTCTTAACACTACCAAGTCCTGCTGATGTGTAGCCTGCCCCCACTTTGACCACAGCTTATCAGCTCTTGTGTGCTGATGCTGACAAAATTCTTTTCTGTTATTCCAAGGAATCATGGAAGGTTCCACCTTCATGCTACTAATCTTGTTGACAGTCACAGCTGATTCTTCAGCCCATGAACAGTACAAAGAGTTTTTTAGCCCAAATAGTATGCAAATAATTTTAGTTCAGTTAATAGCAAAGTTCTTGTTTCCCTCTGAAGCATGATATGGGCCTTTTCTGTCTGTATTACTTTCAGCAACTCCAGTTCCAGGGAATCCAATACCTCACCTGACCTTCTGATTGCCACAGGCAAAACATTCACTCACACACATAAAATAAAATAAAACTGGAAAAAAAACATTTCAAAAGAATTGCCCAATAAGTTCATACCTGATAACTGAATGGTGTTTTCCATCCCAAAGTAGCAAATGTTTCTACACTCTTGTCATAAAAGCAATCCAAGGCATGGTTAGGTCTATTACAGAACACTCCAATTCTGGTACAGTTTCTGCCAAGTTACATTGATGTTGCTGCAATAAAAATACCATGGAAAAAGGCAACTTATTAGTTTGGGATTCAATCTGTAATATAAGAAATGGGATATCTTGATCACAGTCAAGAGAAAGGGCATTCATGGCACCAAACTTTCAAATGACCCAGATGTTAGAACTGTAGACAAGGACTTCAAGAATAAGGACTTCAAGGACTTATGCTCAAGAACATTAAAAAAAATAAAAATAAAAAATAAAAACCATGCTCACAACAAATGGGGGAAAATAAAATATGTCAAATAAAAAGAGCCAAATAATAACTCTAGAGCTGAAATTAGCAATATCTGAAATTAAAAGTTCCCCAAATTAGTTTAACAACACATAGGAAATAAGAAGACAATTCCCTCTGTGTGACCTAGATAAAGGGCCTAGCCACTGTTGGTTCCCTTCTTAAAGCCATGGACTTGTGTGTATTCTAGTACTGCAGCTGAAAGTGAGGATTAGAATTTGATGGTGTTTGGTTTTTCAGTAAAATGTAACAAAACACATAACTTTATTGTAGAGATACCACATTATCTTCATTAAGCCCTAGAGGGAATTTAAGAGTTTTTTTATTTTCCAGCAAGAAGCATGTCAAGAAGGCCTAGACATGAACAGAGGACCAAAGCATTTGTCCTTCTCTGTGGGGAAAAACCAGCTCCACTCTTCCAAGCAGAGCACTTGAAGCCATCCATCAGAGTTTTCACTGTCTCACCTGTTCAGTATTGCAGCCATTAGAACTCCTGAAGGGTTCAGCTGGCTGTGGCCTCGCTAAAGAGGGGATCAAAATGATTGAGAGGTCAGATAGTTTCTCTCCTAAGAATCCATCCCTGTCTTCACAGACACAGAACCCAAGCCCTGAGCTGTAGTTTCTAGGCCAAGTGTCCAAAGGCTTCTTGGCTAACCTTTTGGTAGCCAGGGTTTGGCCAGTTCAAAGCTCAATGATCCCTCCTCTTGACCTGCTCAAATATCAGCTCTTAGAATCCCTCAAACAGATTTTTTGCCTCTTTCAGGAGCAAAATACTGATCTAGGTCAAAAGCATGTATTCTAAAATAAGAATGCTAAGCATAGGGGCTCCTGAGAACCAGGTTTCCACATTTGTTGTCAGTCCTGCCTTCCTTGTTCCTGTGGGCCCCAAAACTTCCCCAGCCAGCCCCACATTCAGATCTTCCATCCACTAAGCTGAGAGCAGCCTGTTTCCAGCTTCACTTGCAGCTCCTGGCAGACAGCCAAGACTACTGAGGAGAGAAGTATTTAAATGGCCCTCTGCAGGTCAGTGACTACCCAGCATATAGAGTGCAAAAGCCAAAGCCAATGCTATTCAAACCAACCATATCAGGCTCACACCACCACTGGGCCTGCAGTTCACTCATTTCCAAACACCATGATACCACCTGGTATGGGTTATACCTGGATTTTGGGTATGTCTTTCCCATTCACAGGGAAAGACCGACTTGCTGCTTGCCTTGGAGTCACTGTTCGGGAAGCCACCCACTTTTTGGAGAGATTTTTGCAGAAATACAAGAAAATCAAGGACTTTTCCCAGACAGTTATTGCCCAGTGTCACCATGCAGGTAAGCGAGCTGTAGCCAGGCTCCTCCTCTTACAGTAAACAGTGGCGTCCCTGTGGACACTATTTTGTGGCTATATGGATGGACAGAGAAGTGAGTGTCTGTGGGTAGAGGTGACTGGGAGAGCCATAAACAGGGATAAAAGACTCCATGTGGAAAGGAAGGGGCTAGAGCTGGGTTCTACCTGTAGCAACAAAATGAACAAGCTTGAATTAACATATTAGCTACACATACAGGTAAAAATAGACAGATAAAACCCTACAGCTGAAAGCTAGCCAGATGTGGTGGTACAGACCTTTACAGCATGGTCTACAAATCAAATTCCAGGAAAGCCAGGACTGTTACACAGATAAACTCTGTCTCACAACAAACCAGCCAAACAAACAACAAACAAAAAAGACCCTGAAAGCAGAGACCATATATTTCTGCAAAAGGCTTTATAGCTCAGCCTGGTGGTGGTGGTGCATGCCTTTAATCCCAGCACTCGGGAGGCACAGGCAGGCAGATCTCTGTAAGTTCGAGTCCAGCCTGGTCTACAGAGATAGTTCCAGGACAGGCTTCAAAGCAATACACAGAAACCCTGTCTCAAAAAACAAACAAACAAACAAACAAACAAAATGAGAGACAGAGGCAGACAGATCTCTGTGAATTCAAGGCTAGCCTGATCTACAAGAGCTAGTTCCAGAACAGCTTCCAAAGCCACAGAGAAACCCTGTCTCAAAAAACAAACAAAAAATAAATACTTAGCTACATATATGCTTTAATTGGAAATAAAGGGTAAAATAGTATTTTATTTTTTAAATATATATTTAAAATACATATTTTTGTACTTGAAAATATATATTTTATAAATGTAATTTTTATGTACATAAGTGTTTTTCTTGCATGTAAGGTAAGTGTATGTCATATGTGCTTGGTGCCATGGAAGCCAGAATAGGGCATTGGATCCCCTTGGAACTGGAGTTACAAATAGTTGTGAGATACCATGTGAGTGCTGGAAACCAAACTCTGGTTCTCTGCAAGAGCAACCAGTGTTCTCAACCACTGAGCCATCTCTCTACACCAAGAGTGTTTCTAAAAGCAGTATTTGTCTAGATTTAACATGCACACACACAGAGAAAGAAAGAGAGAGAGAGAGAGAGAGAGAGAGAGAGAGAGAGAGAGAGAAGGAGAGGAACCAATCTGAGGAAAGAGCAGCAGAAATCACAAAAGGAAGAAAATAAATGGAGGATCACATATTAACAACAAACAGCAGGGTTAGTAATTGGTGCAGAGATAGCGTTCACAAATCAGTACTAACAGGATTAAAAAATAAAATTAGATTGGGCTGGCAGGACTTCCCATTCATAAACATGAACTCTAGCACATGCCACCAGGGTACAGCAAACACCAGTAGATCCCAAATGTGTAACAAGTCCATTTACACAGATGTTCTCAGGGACGCAAGAGATGATAGCCTGAAGCCTGTGCTCATGCTCTTAAGTTCTTGGTAGCCACCACAGGCTTGTCCTTGGGTGCCTGCCGATGCCACCGATCAGCGTTTGTGCCCAGTCACCTCCTATTAGTCAAAGGGAACCTCTGCAAACCCCTAGCACATTCAGATCCCAAAGCTCACTACTTACTCAGACCCTGGTCGCTGCTCCGCCGCCAGCAGACCTCTGTCTACCCTGACCCCTGTCTGCCCAGGAGCGTCAGTAGAAATTAAAATTCTCTCGATTTGTAGTGATGCAATAGTGATAGGACCCAGTGTTAATGAGAACACAAGAAGCCAGTGTCTTCTCACGGGCTCTAGATGGAAATCTAGTCACAATACAGACTCAGGTAACACCAATGGCATACCGAAAGTGATTATTAAATGTTGTCCATAAAGCTATTTATGTAATCTTCACAACATTCAAGAGGTGGGTGATGACAACAAAAAGAAAAGAAAAAAGAAGTGGGTGATGGTGTTGCCACCATTTTACAGCAGATTAAATGAGAGAGAGCCAGTCAATGCCAGAATCACATGGGTACAGGCAGAGTGAGCATGGCTTCAGCACTCATTTTTGGTACAGGCACTACCTCTCCTTCTTGCACTTCATTTTCTTAAAGGGATATGGGATGAGAAATACTCAAAGCACATTAGAATAATTAATTGGATATTGGCCAAGATTGGCTGGATGCCTGGCATATGTCAGTTACCATGCCAATGCTAAGGACAGCAGCTTTTCACTCTTTCAGACCTCACCTTTTAGCAGGTGAGACAGAGAGCAACAGACATTGCATCCCGTGTGTGGAAGAAGCAAAAGGGTCTCAGGGCAGAGAGAACACAGAACAGCTGCCAGCTGCAGCCTTGCTGAGGTGACCAGGCTAGGACTTGAAACATCATGAAGGGCCTAGGAAAGTCCCCAGGGTGAGCAAGTGGGGAGACCTGGGCAGATATATGGACCAGAGAATAGATGGCGCTGATCAAACCCAGCCCATTCGTAGCGATTTACATGGCAAGCATCTGAGTTTTATTTTTAAAACTTAGTCCAGCTGTACTGCTACCAGAAATCTGGAGAGTCTAAAGTCAGAGCTACAACCAAAGGACAATCTAGGAGTAGCAGAGGTATTAGATCAGGAACAGAGATGAAATGAGGGGAATAACAGAGATGTCACACAAGCAGATGCCAGAGAGACCGGCACTCAGACATCTTCTGGCTACCAGTGCAAATGAGGTTAGGCTCTCAGGTGTCCATGCACTCCACCTTCCCCAGATCAAACAATTATAACCACACCAGTTGCTCCTAAAGCCCCAGAGAGGCCAGGCCCATAGCTTGTTCCCATAGTTTTATCTTACTCAAGATGCCAGTTGTCCAAACCAAGATATCTCAACTGCAGTCAAATAAGACTGCTGCTGCTTTTGCTCCTCCTCTACCTCTCCTTCTCATGCCTGGTGCCTTAGAGTGGCCACAGCCATTTTAAAATTTAACTAGGGGTGAGTGGGTGAAATGATAGATTCCTATACCAATATTCCCATGGCTTACCACTCTCTCCTAAGTGTGTGGTGGAGGGATGCCAGGCATCCTTACATAAGGATGACTTCCAGAGTTTTGCTTCCACCCTGAGCACTAGTGTGCAATGGCAGAGCATCAGTTTCTTTTGCACCAAAAAAAAAAAAAAAAAAAAAAAAAAAAAAAAAAAACCTCACCAGTGCTGAAAATGCTGGGTAGAGTGAAAACAAGGTTTGAAGCATGTGCAGTCACATGATATCCACTTTGGACCATAGTGGAGTCACTCTATAGGCAACCATAGAGTGGACCAAAGTACGTGAGTGTTCAGACACTTGGTAGTTGGTACCCTATTGCTGTAGTTGCCCAGAGAAGAAAAGATGAGGTGAATCCTGTAACTGCCTATTTCTGGGGGCAAACAACACAGGGCAGGAGAAGACTTGCACAGAGTAACCACTGGAAGCAGCCAGCAGAATGGTTCCAGGCTGGAGTTGACTCACTAGATACCTGATACATCCAATGTAGGCCTCAAAAGGGCCACACTGTGCAACTCTAACTTCCTCACCCCCGCATAAAGACATATCAAGGATGCAAGTGATGTAGATTTGTCAAGAGACCCGTAGACAGAGAGCAAAGACACTTATGCTCAACAACATGAAGTCTATGATATCCAACATCCAGTCAGAAGCTGTGGACATGTAAAGACATGGGAACCAAAGTGCTGAGTCCGAAGCTTAGATCCCTGTCCTTGTTTACATCTCCCCATGGAGTGGAGAAACTCAGAACCTTGTCATTCCATGAGTATATTTGGGGATGAAGTACATACAGCAAGCTCAGTGTGATATCTAACATGCAGGTGAGGGACTCTAGATTTCAGTACTTAACACCCTACCACCACCAGCAAAAAGTTATAGATTTTATATGTAGAGAATTCTTCTGGTCCTTTGAGCTTATCAGTGGAAGATTTGCTCACACCAAGTTAAAACAAGTCTTCACTGCTCAGGAACATGTATAACCAACTGTGAGAGCTCTTCTTGGTTGTCAACTTGACTACGTCTAGAATGAACAAAAAAATAAAAGTGGAGGGCACAATGTGAGGGATTTTTGCTTTATTTGAAGTAGAAAGATCTACTTCTAATCTGGATCTTTGAGGTGGTAGGAAGACAACTCTTTAATCCAGATCATTTGATCTGGGAGACCCCACCTCCTCTAATCCTGGCCACACCTTCTGCTGGAAGCCTATCCAAGGACACAGAAGAAGGAAGCTTTTGCTGTTTGCTCTCTTGCTCTGGCCTTGCTAGCAAGTCCCTTCCTTCACTGGCATTAGAGCCTTTTCTTCTGGATTCCAGCATGTACTGAAGACCAACTGAGACATCCAGTCTCATGGACTGAGCAAGCACTGGGCTCCTGGGTTCTCTGTTCACAGCAAGCCATTGGATTAGAGCCTGTATGATATGTATGTATGTATGTATGTATGTATGTATGTATGTATGTAGAGAGAGAGAGAGAGAGGAGAAAGAGATTCATTCTATAAGTTCTTTTTTTACTCTAAAGACCCCTGACTAATACAGATTTTTGGTACTGGAATTGATTCTAGAACAACAGAAGTATAAAAATGAATAGGCTTTTCAATTTGCCAATACCTATGGTTACCAAAGCCTCTACAAACTCTTCCCCTGGGAGCTTGGAGAGTACTGAAAGCCCATGGTGTAAACTGTTTCACAATGTTAAGGAGACAAATGCATTAGATTATCCTGATTCACCAATTGTGAATGGCAATGGATTTGGTGACTCTACACTTGAAACTTTTGAAAGTTTGGGAAAAAATAAGGAAAATGATGATGATGGTTATTTTGTTCTTAATATCTATGGATAAATTGACAGAGAATAAGGATGAGCTCCATTGTAAAATCATCCAACACCTAGCATCTCAAAATACAGTGAAGGACAACAAAGAACTTAGTGATTAGATTGACAGGCTCCAAATGCACAGGTCTAGAATTTTCTAAGTGTATCCTGGAAGAGAATCTT